CGGGGGTGGGTTGGGCCTGCCTTTTGTAGGCCAACCCTGCTCTGCCAAATGGTGAGTTTTGGCGGGTTATGGCCCCGCCAGCCTTCGGCTCATTTTGACATATCTACATATATAGTGTGCTCACATACAAATTGATCAATATTAAAACCACATAGTTTCTCATTCGTTAGATTATGTTTACATTATGTATGATGTAAATGAAAGCCAACAAAATCATATACCTTCAATAAAGGGAAACTGTTCCCAGTAGCCAGATTCTTGATTATACATGTACAACAATCTAGCTTCGACAATCATCCATCGACATTTGGACCGACACATTTGTTTATCTCGCTTGGCTTCATAGGCATCGAATCGGACCAACACGAGTCATCATCCCAATGCACGTCACAGTAGAATAGAGTGGTTTTCAAAAGTTCGTATGAAAGCTCCACTCGATGGCATCGTTCACCTCCAATACATGAAACCCGATATCATCATCTCTCGATCGGCAGTGAGCGTCCATACGCAACCCGTTTCCAAGTCGATTGACAACTTGGACATGAACTTTTGCATCAACACAACATGATTTGGCCACAAGTACTAGCAAAGCTGTAGTGACAAGAATCTCCTTGTTTATCAAACTCGAATTCATTTCTTAGGAAGTGTGTGTCAAAAGGAAGGCGGGTGCGAAATAGATTGTTTGGTTAACAATATATACACTTGAAGGCATATGAACTAATGTCATGGTTCTTGATTTGGTGTTATATATTATTGGTTTTTGTCTAATTAATTTGATCGGGTGCCAAGTAAAGAAGGTAGATTAACAACCTTCTCTTTATTTATTAATTTTATTGTTTTTTGCTCGTAGGTTAAAATTGATGATTTGGTTTTCATGGTCATGAAAATGTTATAATTGACATGGTCAAAATTATGATGTATGATTAATAAAAAAAAATCTTAAATTTGGTTGCATTTCGCTTATTTAAAAAAAAAAAGATCCAAATGTCTAACTTTTTCGAAAGAAAATAATAAAAATAATTTATTGGTCCCCATTTGTTTATGCAATTTTTAATTGTAAACAATAAATCAATTATTGATCATGAATTTATATTTATGCGATTGATGTTCTTATACATAATTAAATATGTGGCATTAATTGACTTTGAGTGAATATTAGCTTGTGTAATAAATATAATGATGTTAGATACAAAATAAGCAAGCTAGACCTATTTATAAATTGACACTTCTGGTCCACATATACATTTGAATTTGTGTTGAATTATTCTTGAAGACAAGCATATACATAATAAGATATTTCTTTCATCTCATCTCCTTCTAGCAAACATAAAGAAAGAGTTGTTTTAGAGTAGTTGGTTTCCACCAGAATGCTTAAAATTATGGAAACTCCTTAAATTTTTTCTTTGTACAAAAGAGAGTCCAGGTCCAAGCAATTTAAGCAAACACGTGCCTAGGGTATGAGACACCACAACCATCGCTTGCTAGTCATGGGATAACACCGGACGGGGGAGTCGGAAGAAGCTGGAGACCAAAAGGAGCCGATGCTGCCAGAGATGCCAAGAAATCAGCCGCGAAATTTGCCTCACGAAAGATATGAAAATCTTAACTCGCGAGTCTCGACTAAGTAATTCTCGTATACCAAGAACCAAACCAGGAGAAACACCCCTTAAATCTTTCTTATTATTCACAAAACCCATGATGTTCACATTGTCCACTTCCGCCTCAACCGGGCGAAATCCCATGTCCCAAACCATACTAAGACCGTGGAATAGTTCCCATAACTCCGCCCCTGCAACAGAGCACATCCCATTATTCCGCATTAATCCTCCCAACCATGTCCTATGAGTGTCACGGATCAACCCTCTAGTTGAAGCCATACCCGAGGATTTATAATAAGCCCCGTCCGAATTCACTTTCACCCAATCCATCGGTGGAGCCACCCAATAAATAAGACGCTGGCTGCGATAAACTCCGACACCTCCAAGATTTTTGTCGCACTTCGCAAAATGGAGAACTCCGTTCACGAAGGTTCTGATTTCATGGACCTTCTCATCCGCTTTCTTTTTACGATTTTAAAAAATAGCAATATTACGCCATTGTCGTAATTTCCACAAAGTCACACCAAACAAACACTCACAGTCGGCTTCTATCGGAGGGTCAAAAGAATTCAATAAGTTTGAAGCGAGCCACTCCTCCAAATTTAAACCAAAAAAGGACTGACGTACCCGTGGCGCAACGAGGCAATCCCACACTTGAGTAGCGCTCGAACAATCACGAAGAACATGCAACAGCGACTCGTTTATAGGCGGACTCTTATGGCATCTTAGTACTGAGGTTAGATGTCGCGGCCCGTTGGTCAGAAGACGTCCTTTAAGTACCAGCCAAAGAAAGTACTAAACACATTGCGGTCGGGCCATCGCCACACGGTTTTCCATAGACCCGCACTGTCTGTTTCTTCTGCCGAGCTAAGGATCTGGTAAGCCGAACGGGTGGAGAACTTACTGTTACCAGAGTCTTCCCAGTACGACTGGTCATCTTCCAACTCCGGTCGAGGGATAGACATCTCTGCAATTTTAAGGAGGGCGGATGTAGGGAGCAGACTACCAAACAACTCCCATTTCCACGTGTTGTAATACTAACACACGAAAGAACTGATCGGAAGATCTAAAAATTCCGGCGAGATCGATGCAAGGGCGGCCGTGCATAGAATCTCTGAGCCCGGTAACCATGCATCCAGCCAAAATTTTGTCGTGGAGCCATTGCCAACCACCTATTTGGTGGCCGCCGAGACATGGCGCCAAACCTTCCTTGTAGCCTTTATGACAGTCGAACCGAACACTGTACGCCTACTCGGCATAAAAGGGTTAGCTTCATACTTGGCTTTCCATGTACGAACCCAAAGGGTCTCCAGTTTCGTTCGGAAACTCTATCCGAGCTTTATTGAATTTTTTTATGTACATTGAATTTATCCATAGGTTGTACATATTTAGATCAGTTCTCAATTAAATTCCAAACCATCAAACCCTACAACCAAATTCAGTTTCAGTTTCTTACATTTAAGCGCTTCGGTTCGATTATCACTTTTCGGTTTTCGGTTGCTCAATTTTGAACTAAGTCGAACCTAAATAATAGGATGTTTTGAAGGCCAAGCACTACTTGAAAGAGAAAAAACTTAAACTTTGAGCATTTGATGTTGAAAATTTCAACCGATTTACAACACATAACAATAGTAAATATCTAGTGTTCTATAAGTTGCTAGCCGCCCGACCAATGCCTAGAGAGCGTAGACAGGACCTAGAAATTAAGATTAAATATTTTACTTTTTTTTTACTACCTACAAAATAAAAGTACATCAACTTATAATAAATTCACACACTTAAATCTAAAAATTATTATAAAATATATTTTAAAGAAAACATGATAACAAAATGAAGTAATTAGTATAAAAAAATAAAAATAAAAAATAAAAAATTTCTGCCAAGACCGCCTATCCGTCTGGCCGATTTTTTCAGCTGATTTGTGCAAATCGGAGGCAGCCTTCCGATTTTTAGCACAATGTAAGTATCTTGATATTTTTAATCCACAAGAATTAGAACAAAGCTACAAAAAGGTATAAGTCATTGTTACTCCTATATATAAGGTGATATATTCATCCTTATTTCACAATGTCTTCGTATGTGTTTTCCTTTCACCAAAATATGGATACATCATTAATAAAGAAAAAAAATACATAATCAACACCATGATCATATTGTCTTCAAGAATCAAATTTTGATCATAATAAAACCTGCAATCATAATCTTAAATTAACGTCGTTACCAACAATTTCATACGTATTATTCTTTGATTAATGGGAACCATTCCCAAAAGAGCGACTGTTGATTAAATCCATACAACAATTTATCTCCCCCAATCATCCATCGACATTTCGAATCACATCTATAGGAATCTCTTCCGGCATCATAGGCGTCAAAATGGTGCCAATAAGAGTCGCCCCATTGCACGTCGCAATAGAATAAAGTGGTCATCCCAAAGTTGAGGTGAAAGCTCCACTCAATGGAATCGCCCTCTTCCAACACGTGAAAACCGATATCATCGTCTTTTGACCGGCAGTGCACGTTTAGACGTACCCCATTTTTGAGTCGGTTGATCACTTGTACGTGGATTTTTGCATCAATTACACGACATGCGGCTAAAAGTAGAGTGACAATTGCGACCCGTTTTATTAAACTCCTCATTTTGGAGTAGTGTGTTGTGAGAATTAGGTTCTTTGGACTACCATTTATGTAGTGAAGGGTGCGTGAACACATAGGTCATGGATCTTGAGTTGGTCATATGTTTATTTATTTATTTTGATCATCAACTCAGTGTGAGTAAAGAAAATATGAGTTGGTCATATGTTTATTTATTTATTTTGATCATCAACTCAGTGTGAGTAAAGAAAATATGATAAACTACCTCGCCTTTTCATTGTTTTTTATAGTTTGCTTGTTAAAAACTATTTGTCTTTCATGAACAAAAAAAAAATAATAAATCTACAATGTGTTTTTTTATTAGGTACTGATTACATAATGTTTGAAACTTGGATAGGTTTCTAGAAAATGAGAATTAAGAACAAACACTTACACAAATAATGGAAACTCGAACAATTAAAAAAAAAAGAAGAAAAAAAGTCTAAACGTGATTTTAATATATGTCGCTTGGAGTTAATTCGAAAGAATCAATCCGGGTCGTATAGCTAGGAAGGCTAGCCAAAATATTTCGTATGTTATTCAAGCATGCTGTAGGCATTGAAATATTAATATTTTGATAATTTTTGAACATAAACACAAGATAAAGAAGATACACAATTAATAACGTAAAATATTTCTTGTCCACAACGTCAAATGTTAGGATAAGGAATAGATTATATCAAATCATCAAGGACCAATCAAATTAATGTCTTCTTTTTTTAAGAGCGTCAACAACGCTGCTTCAGATTAAAGAAAATCGCAAGAATAGCGTGAAGAAATCCTTCCAATGCGCCCAATTTATGCGCTAGAATGAATAAATGAACAGTGTTGCACCAATTATAGCACAACACTATGTTTATGTAGTTTAATGTAATATTAATGATAATTTTTGTATAATGTGTATTAATAAATTCAT